TGTGTGTGTGTGTGTGTGTGTGTGTGTGTGTGTGTGTGTGTGTGTGTGTGTGTGTGTGTGTGCTCAGAGATCCTCGCGGAGTATGTTTAAATACTGTGGTGCTACCAAGTGATTGTTATTTTAAAGAATACCATAGTGCTAGCATGGCACAGGTCCAGAAACCATGGTATTACGCTGGTACTATGGTAAATCCAGGCTAGTACCGTGGTCAGTTTTGGTACTTTTTGTTAGTAGACCGAAAAAGCTGTTGAATACCATAAGAACTGAATAGTACATGTGTAATAGTTCCATCTATAGCACACCTGTACATACAATTTATTCTTTTTTTTTTGTGGTTTATATTTATGCATGTGTATTTTATTCACATCTCACTTTTATTATCTGTGTGTTGTTGTTGTCTCAGTGTACTGGAAGCTTGTGACACTATAACAAATTCCTTGTATGTGCAAACATACTTGGCAATAAAGCTCTTTCTTCTAAAATGCATGCTATTACCGCGGTGTCCACGGTATTACCGCGGTATTTCTCGGTAAATGCAGGTTTGATGTGTCTGAGAGGATCTGTCATGTTGTGTGTCCTCAGGTGAGTGTGGCGTCCCGGTCTCAGAGTGAGTTCAGGGGTTCTGGCCGAGCGCTGTATAAGCTGGACATCTCCTGGCCCAAGAAGCCCGAGTACTTCACCGGACAGGTGTTCGGCGTGGCTGTCAATCATCTGGCCGGCCTGGTGTATGTGGCTCAGGTGAGTGAGGAGGGATATAGAGATGTTCACTCACAGTCACCAAAGATACGGCAAACTCACCATTCCAAGAATAAACTATGTTATCTCAGAAGTTGCACATTAAAACTTGCAATTACTTTTTTCATTTTTTTATTGTGACGGGGGAAAAAATAATTCTGAGATAAAAACGTACAATATTGAGGAAAAAGGCAGAATTGCGACAAACTCATAATTTGAGAAAAACACAGAATTGTGATATAAACTTGTGATTTCAAGAAAAAGTAGAATTATGAGGTGTAAAAACAATTAGGAAAGAACTCAGAATTGCGACAAACTCCACATTTGAGAAAACTGTTAGAGATAAAAACTACAGTTTCAAGAATGAAGGCACAATTGCAAGACGTGAACTCCAAAGCTGCAAAATAAAACTCGCAATTATTATTTTTCTGTGATGGAAACAAGAAAAAGGTCAGAATTGCAAGATGCACTCAAAATTTGAGAAAAGGGTCACAATTTATATAAACTTAAAAAAAGATCAAATTCACAATTCTGAGAAAAAAAGACAGAATTATGACAAACTCACAATTTGAGAAAAAAAAATCAGAATTGCAAGTTATAGTCACAGTTACTTTTTTAAAAGATATTTGTGTCAGAAATGGGCTTGTATTAGTGAGTCTGAGACCATCAGTCATCACGCTTCATCCTGACGAGGTGTGTGTGTGTGTGTGTGTGTGTGTGCTCCTGACAGAGAGGCGATAACGTGCCTAAAGTGCTGGTGTTCAGCACGGATGGAGACTTCCTGCAGGCCTGGAACACCAGCAGCCTGGAAATGCCTCATGGGATTTTCCTGGCCAACGCATCCGCGGATCCAACGGTGTGGATCACAGATGTAGGGAACGGTGGGTTGTCTCTGCACAGGTGTGTGAGACCTCGTTTCATCCTGTCGAGGGGTGTGTGTGTGTGTGTGTGTGTGTGTGTGTGTGTGTGTGTGTGTGTGCTCCTGACAGAGAGGCGATAACGTGCCTAAAGTGCTGGTGTTCAGCACGGATGGAGACTTCCTGCAGGCCTGGAACACCAGCAGCCTGGAAATGCCTCATGGGATTTTCCTGGCCAACGCATCCGCGGATCCAACGGTGTGGATCACAGATGTAGGGAACGGTGGGTTGTCTCTGCACAGGTGTGTGAGTGTTTGAGTGTGTGTGTGTGAGACGTGTGAGTAACGCGGCTGTGTTTGTGTGTGTGTGTGTGAGACGAGTGAGTAACGCGGCTGTGTGTGTGTGTGTGTGTGTGTG